TTCAAATTGCATGTTTTATAGATAGTGCGCAGAAATGGATTAACTCGATGTTCTCTGACCTCATTCCAGTGAAACGTCATCACTAGCTCACCTGAAGGAATTCCAGCACTTCCTGAGCCCATATATGGGCACGTCCCACTGAATTCCTGCTCAGGATTGTGCAACAGTTACAGGCAACATCCTGTTTGATGTCAAAGACGTTTAATGGACAGGCACATGCGTAATTTTGTTATAAAGCAAACATTACAGATGTCACCTTTAACCCATTGGTTTCCGTAGTGATTCCAATAACAGGTATTAATATACAGTAAGGTCTGTGGGAAACTGATGTGCGTTGTTATTCTGTCTTTGTCTTTGAAACAATAGGATCTTTGACGTTTTATAAATCTAAAGATCTTGGGCAAACAGTCTGTTTAAAAATCACGTTGGTCTCTGAAAGTAAAACGGTTTTCTAAAGATAATCAAATATCAAAAATGATATTAATATTCAGTGTTTAAAACTCTACATTTCTTGACTTTTATGTCACAACACAAGCGTTCACGTCAAGCGTTACAACAGCTCACATTGTTCTCGGTGTATTTGTGAAGGTTCAGATGACCCATGTGAAGTTTTGCCCATTATGTTTATCCAGGTGTCTCCATTCAAAACTGCAAATTATGTGAAAACTTCTCAATGAAGACTTTTTGATGAAATCAGAGAGATTTCTGTCCCTCTATTGACAGTCCAACCACAAAAAATTCAAAAAGAGATCGTAAACAAATCCAGTTTAGTCCTACATTTTCTGGAGACCTGCTCACTTTATATGGAGAACAGATTAAATGTGGCCTTTTATTCACATATCGATCAGTGAACATTTATATCAACCGTACTGCTTTTAAAAAGCCACTGATAGGATTTTTGCATTAATTTTAACAAAATATTTTGTGGCATGAATATCTGAACATGCACTGTGAAAAAAAAGTTGAATCTCGTATAACTTTTAAAAAAACGTATTTTGATTAGTTGAAGTAAAAATCTCCTTTGTAAAAGCTTTACGAGGCAGAACTCCTCACTTGATGAGATGAGCTCACAAAACTAGTTCACTTACAATTACTAAACTGAATTAGTTACAGCAGGAATACATTAATTAATCATTTACTCATGCTTAACGAATGACTCATAGCAGTTATGATATAGTTTTACCAACATTTTGAACTCCTATCGCTTGTTTCTGCTTCTTCTTCACCTGTGTTTCGAACTCTTTTAGATGATGCGTACTTTTGGAAAAGTGAAAGAGTTCTCAAAACATCATTTATAGATCGTTTGTGAAATGTTTTTCCTGACGTGTGTTCTAGTGTTTTTTAAATGTTGCTTCTTGTTTCAGAACATTTAGATAACATCATGTCTGTTTGAATAATGATGAAATGAATATTTTGTTCACAGATGTGTTATTAGCTTTAATATGAGCTCTAAATCCAGTCACTCAGGTAAGCCAGAGGCAATATTTTACATTTGTGTATGTATGTATTTATACGAGACAACATGAGAGAGAGAGAGAGCCGTACAGCTTATGGGCTGATAACTTCTGTAAATGCTCTTAGCAGACAGCATAATAACCCAGCAGTGAGTTATAGAGTACTGTGAGGATTTTTAGATTTTTTTTTACATACGGGCATTGTGTTTTAGAAAGTGGCCATAGTTTGTATTCACTGGAAGAACAAAAAAATCAATTTTTCACCTTTTGTCAAACTACTCATTCTGTCATTTCACAATGAGAGTCTAGGCGTGTGCACGGTTGGCTGGCGCTGCACGGTTTGCTTAGATCAATGCTGATTCTTACCGTATTGAAAAGTACACATTTTAGCCGCAGTGCTGTAATAGCGGAGAACAATCAGGGCCTATTCAGGCTGAAGGACACCCTCCCTCAGTCAACATTTGGCTCTCAAATCCACAGCCGGCGCTGGCTCTCCGGCCCCCGGAATGCATCAGTTACTCTCAATGTTCACATATTCATTTACAGAGCTGTTGTGTGGCCACTTTAAGCTGTTCACTGTCAGAGAGCTTTTCCAGCACTGAAAAACAAGATGCTAAATGTTAGCGTATCTGTCATACTGTCGGACACGGCGATCGAACAATGAAGCAAAACGGCATCGAAACACAGCGTGAGTGGATAAGTGTGTTGCCCCATAGCACACGTGTTCAGGAGTGTGTGTGTGTGTGTGAGAGCTGTAATTTGACCTCAGGAAGGTGAGCAATTGCAGGCAGAGCGCTAGTCACCACACACTGAAACTCACCGCAATCCATCAACCAATTGCCCATGCAAATCTGATACGAACCAGGCAAAGACAGGTCTGTTGATTACACAAGCGCACATGCCGCTCTCAAGCTGCTCAGGTGAGATTCTTTAAGAGTTAGTCTATCTATCCATCTATTAACAATTATTAATTACAATCATTTTTGAAGTTATATGAATATCTTATTGATTTATTGAGTGGACCAATTTCAGATTCATGTGTCCCCAGAATGCGTCTATGACACAGATCATGTATAGCATGTTGTAATTGACCATTTTTGAGTGGAAGGAAAAGCATGCTGTTTTCGTGCATGTCTCTTTAAATGCAAATGAGCTGCTACTCCCCACCCAGCTTTCCAGAAGAGGGCGGAGTCTTTACATCTGGTGCATCCGATACTAAAACATCTGTTTGGTTTTGATTATCTCATGTGAGATTTCAGTTCTTCATCATTATGAAAATGTATTATCTGCATGTGTTTTAAATCCATATCATATCACTTCTGGAATAATGCTATCTTACGACCAATTCGTACAAATTCGTACGAGTGATTAAATGTGGCTAATTCATACAAATTGGTATGACCTCACTCAAGATTTGTCTAAACCCACATGATTGGTAGGTTTAGGGGCGGAGTCAGGAGTACGAATTCATACGAATGGTGAAATTGTGAATTCGTACGAGTGAGGTCATATAAATTCGTACGAATTAGCCACCACGTAAAATTCGTACGCATTGCCGTTAGATCGGGTTGGGTTTTTCTGAGCGCACACATCCGAAGCAGTCGGTTATATCTGTGAATATAAACAGCAAGTAAAGAAATCGCTTGTGTATTTTAGATCTGTGTATTAAAGTGAAAACAGAGTAATATACAGCACTGCTGTTTATATGAATCAAACAACAAAAGAAAAAACAGAAATTACAGCTTTATAGCTTTACATTTCTTACTCGAATGCTGCTGTTAAATGCTCTGTCAGGAGATAAACATGGCTGACTGTGTACAGCTCACTGAGGGCGGGGCCTATGCTAATAGGGCAGAGTCAGAAGACATGGGCGGGGTCTATGCTAATAGGGCAGAGTCATCAGCAGTCATGGGCGGGGTCTATGCTAATGAGGCAGAGTCATCAGCAGTCATGGGCGGGGTCTATGCTAATAGGGAAGAGTCATCAGCAGTCATGGGCGGGGTCTATGCTAATAGGGCAGAGTCAGCAGACATGGGCGGGGTCTATGCTAATAGGGCAGAGTCGTCAGCAGTTGTGGGCGGGGCCTATGTATATGTGATGTCACACAGCTAGAATCTGCAAACAGTTTGTTCTGAGACACTTCTTATGATTTATGGGAATTAATAAAAGGGGTGGGTTTTTACCATCATAAGGTGGTCGTTGACACACTGCCGACACACATTTATGTTCGAACACCATGTAAATGTGAATTTTGCATATTGCATATATTAAATTACAACTGCATCCAGTTTATTTTCCCCTAATTCAATTTCCATTCAAATTCAAGAACCACAGAAATGCAAATCACTGACATTAAGTAGCCTACTCTATACCTTCTTCTCCAAATATAAGTTCACGTCGTGCAAAGATCAGCAGAATGCTCTGGAAAGTTTGAGGTGATGTAAGATTGATGGGCGCGGAACGCTTCATGTTCTGAACTGGGAGGTGTTCACTCCTAACAACCATCATTTTGCTGCAAATTATTATAATTATAGTCTATCACGGCCTGTACTGTCACCGAGGTCGATCCTTTCCTCACTTTGAACGCCAAGAACATCCATGAACAAAGAACATTCAAGTAAAACAAAGAGACTTTCATTTTTAAGAAGCAGAGGTTTGTTGTTGCACTCGTGTCGTGTTCTCTTAATCATTACGCATTTTGCATTATAACATGTATATTATAGGCTATAATATGCACATTACACAACGCATTCTGCACTAAACTCAGTGAATCTTTCTGTACGGTTTTAAACCCACGAACAGGTGTTTTGACCTTGTCTGACCTCTCTCACACAGCGAGTAGTGACCACATCTGTTCTGGACTGACCCGTCTGTCCTCGGGCTCTTTGAGAAAACAGGAGGAATGCAGAGGATCCAGTTTCCGCCCCATCACTTTTATTCTTATCCTCCGTCCACGCTGTTGTGTTGAGTCTAGAAAATTCAGGGAGCCGTGGCTGCTCTAAATCTTTACATCAAGATAAATTATTAAAACGGGTTGGTTCGGTGAGGTATTCGGTGGACACAGATTCATGTTCAGATATGTTTGAGTCCGAGATAGGCTTCAGACAAAACAATGGCAGGTTAACAGGTGAAGTGGGATTTACAGAGTTTCACTGGTTATAAACGGGCATGTTACAATATGCACTGATGCCTTGAGTAACCACACAACACGAGAGTTATGGAATTATGTTGTTATAATGATTGAGAGAGCCAGACACTAGACAGAAACAGCAGCACAATAGTTTGGTTCATAAACTAAACAGGGTTAAACCTCAAATACAAATCGTTTATATAGATCGATGTAATGAGGGGGGAAACTGTTTACAATATGATAGCATCGGTGTCATTTTCTTGACGGATAAAGCCTCCATGTTAGACACCTCTCAGGTGAGCCACGCCCTCCTGCACTGTGATTGGAGAACGCGCTCTTTCCTTCGCTCTGATTGGCTGAGGCAGCTGTCACTCATGTCCTACGTGTCCTCGGTGTGATACTTTACAACAGGTAAGGCTACCTGAGGGACACAGGGAGGGCTTTTGGATACACCGCGCGTCTGGATGTACCGACAAGGACGTTTATAATAACCTCGCATATGTGTATTCGTCATTGAGAATAAGTTTTTAATATAATATTCGTCATTTGCATATAGTAATGGCAAGTGTAGGACTGGTCGTCAGCGCCCCGAACACAGACGAGAGAGCGGTGTTCACGCAGCTCAAACCCGTGCGGATGTGTGGCGCGGATGGCCCGGAGGATTCGTCCGTGTTTGAGGACGTCAAACCCGCGGTTAGAATCGCAACAAACGCTGTTGAAATGGCTCAGGTATGACCGGCGCTCTGTGCTGTCCAGACTTTCAATATTTCAACATCTAAATATCCCAATAAAGATAGAGCAGATGCAGTGTAACTGAAAGCACCTGATCAGTAGTGGAAAATAAATTTATGAAAGGCTTCCTGCAATGCAAGGATTTGGTTCATAGATATATATATATATAAAGGCCTCTAAATTACTGTTTATTTGTCTTGCATTGCTTTTACATTTATTCATTTTGTAGGATTTGTATGAAAAGTTGATTACAAACAATACAATTATTATTAACACAGATAACAATATTTTTAATCATATATCTTTTTTTTTACTACATCACAGTTGTAGATGTTTTACTTTAAATAGTTTATTTTACCTAAAAACACATTTCTCTTTAAATTTCCATCTTGGTTTTGCCACAAACATTGACGTCATATTACGTGAGCTTATAAGGTTCTAACTCCGTTTAGTTCTGAGATATTGAGCATCAAAGTTTGTACATCCCAGCTGGCAAAACTGTTATTTAGTAGTATAATCTTCTATTATAGCATCTATGAATCTTTACAAAAATAACACCACACAGGCATTAATAAACACCTAATTGATCAGATTATGTCAAAAACTCAATTTCGACCAAAAGTGGAGATAGAACCTTATAATTCTAAGCTCACGATTATTCTCATAAATGGTGTAGCTTATACTTGACTGTGACTTGGCTTGAATATCATGAATATATTATTCCAGATAAATTGGAGCTCAACCTGCTTTACAAAGGCACTATGACATTAATACTTAACTTGCTAGTAAATGCACAAGTTTGGGCCTCAACATAACTTTCTTTACAAGAGTGAAATCGAAGTATTGGAGAGTGTATTGAAAAGCAAAATAAATCAACAAACTAGAAACATGTACCTTGATGTTTACTGGGGTACAAGAATACACAAATGCTCAACAACTGATTTGAAGTAATGTATAAAATCATGGTGCCGATTTAACGCTGGGACAGTGATCGTGAGAAGTTTAGTAGGTTCCCCAAATTCAGATTAATCCACAAGTTCTTAGTTCATTTCAGATTTCTGTTTTTCGTTTGGCGTTGGTCATCGCCTTCCGTACTACACATTACTGTGATGTTTTGATGATCGTATTGGTCGAGTCCGCAACGACACCTGAACATGGATGGCTCTGTTGGACGGTATGGGAACAGTGTTTATGACGGGTTTAGCCAATGACTGATGACCCCGTTGCACTCCTTCAGAAGCTGAAACGGCCACAGGGCTCACGCAGGACACCGCCTGGGCCTTCGCTTCGGCCTTGTTAACTTGTTGACGCCTGCATTGTGTTGGAAACACATGCATCGAAACACACCAGAATTTAAGTGATCGTTGGAAAAAAGTACCTGAGTAATAATTACCCATAATCATAGTCTAAATTAAATAAAATTGCTTAAATAACAATCCTTTTAAGTTTAAATGATCTTGATTTTTCACAGCTAATCAAAAGATCCATCCATCTGTGATGACGTGTGCATCTGCAGGTTTTTCGGTTTGGTTTCTTCACAGCATTTAACAAATCAAAGTTCCAGTGGTTCCTTCACTATTCATTGGCCTGAAAAGCCAAAACCACTGTTATCTATTTCCCCCAAAGCCATAAAACATCTTTTTCGTCTCAAAGGTTTTGTTTTCTCTTGCGTCTCCCTCCAATGACTTGTGCTGTTATGGCTCTAGTAAACAGACAAGAAGCCTATCAGTTCTGGTTTATTGGGATCTGTGGAAACATCTATTTTTTTTCTTAAATTACGTTTGGGCCATAAAATGCAATTATTTCAAAGGGAAAGACCTTTTGTGTTGTAATTCGTAAAAATGTCTTTGGGCTGACCGGCTACTTGGACCCTCTGGGGAATTGTAAGAAGGACACACGCCGGGGTGCGTTTCCCAAAAGCAATCGCAATGATCGCAGTTTCCATTGGTAACAACGCAACGTTCGGCTTTGGGGAACGCTCGCCTGTCCGGGTTTCTGAGCCTATTGTGTGTGTGTGTGTGTGTGTGTTTGATCTGCGCAGTAAAATATTGTTTGATTTTCATTGCATGGACAGCTTTCTTCCCAGTGTGTGTGTGTGTGTGTGTAAGTCATACAACTTTGGAACAGCAGAACTGATAACACAAGTTTATGAACGAATTGGATTTTTCAAGAAAGTGAGCCGTATTTTTGAAGAACGTTGATACATGAAAACCTCCATCTTATTTATCTCAAAGATTATGTTTATGCCTAACTCGGCTCCCAGTCGTTATCGGTCCCTAAAATACATAACTGAGCAGTTGTAAATGCTCTCCAATCATTAACTCAGTTCTTGGGCCAGGGTTCAGCTGCTGTTCCTGTTCCTCACACACACACACACACACACCTCGTGAACAGAACCGGGTCTCCATGGCCAACTGCGCTCGCCTCTCTGCCAGTGCCACCACAACACAAGGCCCGTTTGTGCCCAGGACTGAGAGCAGGGGCAGTGCGCTTGCCAGGTCTGGAGATAAAGCCAAAGCTATTCTCCATTAATTACCTGGGTTTTAACTTTCCAAAGCTGGCCTGATGGGGACGAAGGTGGAGCTGTTGAGGTGAACACTGAGCGCAATCGTCCACAGTATCGCAGAAAGCTGCAGAAGAGTCAGCGTTCATTGTACATTCCCCGAGAGTACATGACCTCACACGTTAGGGATGAGTTACCTGAAAGGATGAAGATATTTCTACATGAAACCACATCAGTGGATTGCCAAGGAAATGCGTTTTGACAATACGTCCCACATTGTTGACAGAGCTGCCACTTCACACAGCCGGACGTCGCAGTGCTTTTAAAGTGTGTATTGTCTAATATGATGACGACAATAAAGGCAGTTGTGTGTTTAATGTGGGGTCCAAATGTCTGTCATCACGTTAATAGATTTAAAAAGAAGTAGTCTCGTATTGTTAAACCCAAAAATGAAAATTCAAGTTGTTGCAAACCTGTTTGAGTTTCTTTTTTCTGCTGAACACAAAGGAAGATATTTTGAAGAACGATACAATCAAAAAAAATATTTATTTTCAAGATTTGTTATCACAACGTTTTTCTTTTGTCAAATCAACTTAAATAATTTATTTAGTTCAGAACTTATTATTTTGAGTTTATGATGATTAAATTAATCTCCTTCATTATATTAACTCACTTTTTCCAGTTCAATCAACTTAATTTTAAGGCAACCAGGTTACTTCATTTTTTAAGTAAAACCAACAACTTTTTTTACACTGTAGAAACTCGTACAGGTTTGAGGACAACAACTTGAGGGAGAGGAAATGATGACAGAATTTTCAATTTTAGGTGGACAAAACTAGTTTGTGTGTATATATTTATATAAATGTAGTCAAACCAAACATTATTCAAGATATATATTTTTATATATTGTTTTAGCGTGATCAGGACACTATAGTTTATATACGTGAGTATAGCAAAATAAAGTAAACTGTGACATATTATATTCAAAATATATTCTTACAGTAACATTTATAAAAAAAAAAAAAAAGGGGCCATATTTTTTTCAGACTCTTTGACCTGACCTGGTTTTGCTGAAGTGTTTTGTTTTTTTATTGTTAATGCGACCTTTTTTACAGACTGAACAATATTAATCATTGCTTGGTAATTGAGCTAAATTGGTATTATCTAATAGTGTAGTTAAATTTAACAGCTGAAAACTGACAGATCTTCAGTCTAACAGAAGAATGGCCTAAACCACTGAAATATCACTGAGTTCGTCATATTTTTTTATTACCATTTTCTAAATTATAGTGAATAAACTGTGATAATGTGAGAAATGTTGAAGGTGCCTGAATAAATTTGGGATATATATTTATATTGTTAATCAAAATAATATTGATGAGATAAAACAAAATCGAAGTGTAGAGTTATTGAATCGAAACTTTCCTTGGAAATGAAAACTGATTGAAACCAACATAAAGAGGAGTTACGTTTCAAAGAACTTGAAGCTTGAGTACTGCTGTCCTTAAAGCAAAGAGATGACTTAAATAATCATCATGAAATGCATTTTATTTTTCGTATATAAAACAATATAAATATATTTTGAAACGTGTACTAGTATAGAGAAATATGAAAAATAGAGGTCATTATTTTGGTTGCACGCGGGCTGTGTGAAGCTGGGACGTTTTGTTCAAGACAGGTATTTACGTTGTTCAGGTTTTTGCATGTGCTTACCATTTCATCATCGCACATTTGACTTGTCAATTGTCTGGTTTGGTAGGTCTGCTTCTGTATTATCGCAGAAATGGCCTCGTTATCAGTCTCAGGGTTACGGCACCGTTGCACCTGAATGGCTCTCCAGGGTTCACTCGTTTTTTAGAGCTCTATTTTTGTACGTTGTTTGTGCCCATATCTCCGCTTACTATCACATGTCACTGTTTTGGTTTTGCTTTGTGTTCTGGTCCTCCATGGCCGCCACACCTATGAGGTTTCTGTTTACTCTGCATTAGCGCAGACGCACAGCTCTGCTTCGTGTTCACGGTTACAGAAGGATCTCACACTGCTGTGCCAGGCACGGCCATCACAAATCAACTTCATCTACTGCGAAAGACAATACACAGTATATTCAGCCAAATCTCTTCTCTTTCTGAACCGCTGCGGTGAAGAGAAAGGAGCAAAATGGCAGAACAGAAACTCAGTTTATGCCAGCTAATCCAGTTACCAACACACACACACAACCATAACTACACTCAAAAAATGCTGGGTGGTTTTAACCCAATTTTGGGTCAAATATGGACAAACTCAAACATTGGGTTAAAATTTTATTTAAAAATATAACCCAAATGGCTGGGTTTATCCATATTTGACCCAAAAAAAGGGGTTAAAACAACCCAGCATTTTTTAGTGTGCCTGGACTGCATGCAAACAAATAAATAATAATATAATAAAAATAGAAAAATTCAATAAAATTACTTAAATTGAGCAAAGTTTTTCCGATTAAATCTATCGTTTGAAGTAATGAAGTAAATTAAGTCTTAAGTAAATAAAGTCAAATGGCTATTTTCTGGCATATAGAACAAGTCATGAATAAATTACTGTATTTTAATTGATTAGAGTGCTAAATGTCATAAACTACATAAAAAAATATATTATCAAATTAATTTCTTTTCTTTTTGTTGGATGTCTATACATCTGGTTATGCCAATTATTTACTCAAAAACTTAGAATATCATGCAAAAGTTCATTTATTTCAGTAATTCAACATAAAAGATAAAACTAATAGACTCATTACATGCAAAGTGAGATATTTCAAGCCTTTATTTGTTATAATTTTGATGATTATGGCTTACAGATACGAAAACCTTTTCAAAATATTCTAATTTTGAATTTGGGGTTTTCATAAGCTGTAATCCATCAAAATTTATTTCAAATAAAGGCTTGAAATATCTAAATTTGCATGCAACGAGTCCACATAATATATTAATTTCACCTTGTAAGTTGAATTACTGAATTAAATGAACCTTTGCATGATATTCTAATTTTTCGAGTCATTCACCGTATAGTAAAACAGATTTATATAAAAACGGACTTACATTTATACAAATTCAGTTTAATTGCATATTCAACATATTCAATTTATTGATATTATACAAATGTAATAACTATATAATATTATCACTATTATTATTTTGATGTAGCAGAGTTTTATAGGTATACTCTTAAAAACCCCTTTCCACTATAAAAACTAAACAACTCTTTGTGCAATGGAAAGACGGCATGAATGTTAAAAGTTCTTCATGCCGCTGAAGATGCCTAGCTTTATTTCTAACAGTGTACTGTATATCATAAGGATCTCCTGTCGGTTTCAGACGCGGATGGAGATGGAGAAGTATTTGCCCCAGAGCGGCCCGGTGCTGACCCTAAACATGATGGACAAGAAGTACCGGCGGGAAAGCGCCTCAGTGGTGGACGAGTATTTTGCGGATGAGAAGCCTGCGCCGTACAGTCTGAACATCAACGTTATCCTGCCCAACACCACACATCTCCGCACGGGCCTGTACCGGCCCAACAAACCTGCGGCGCATCCGATCAAAACAGAGCCTGGCGTGGACGAGCCGTGCGGCGTCCAGGCGCTCCCCGAGTTCACCTCGGTCTTCAGCGTGCCCCAGACGGTCAACAGCCTCTTCATCAAACCCGACATGTCCGTGTCCGACGAGCTCCACATCGGCCCTCAGCAGCCGTCCGTCTACCAGATGCCCGTCAGCAGCGCCGACCTGACCTCCATGACCTTCTCCCCGAGTCAGGCCATGAACGGGGTGGGCTCGCCCGGCAGGACCATGCTCAGCCTGAACACCGTGGCCTCCGGAGAGTTCGTGATGCCCGAGCCGTTCTTCACCTCGCCGCAGCCGCACAGTCTGCCTCCGTCGCCTCCCAACTCGCAGCCCGGCAGTCCGGAGAACCAGCCGGACCTCATCGCCTCGCCCCCCCCGCCGTACCAGGGCCGGATGGGACTGAAGGTGGGCCAGATGACCCCTCACTCCATGCTCATGGCCCACGGGCAGGGCATCCTCACGGGACCCAGGTACAACCGGCGGAACAACCCGGAGCTGGAGAAGAGACGCATCCACCACTGCGACTTCCCAGGTTAGTGTGCCTTTCCAGTCAGTAGTTTGGATGAAGATGAGCCGAGATGATCAGGGACTGTCGACTAACATTTGGCCAATTTTCTCTGTACCAGGATGCACTAAAGTTTACACAAAGAGCTCTCACTTGAAAGCACACCAAAGGACTCACACAGGTAAGAAGCCAAACACACACACACACAACAAATCAAAACGATGCATATTATGGGGGGGTATAATATATAATATATAGTTCAAACAGCGTGTCGCGTTCGGCAACGATGAAACTCTCTCCAAGATGATTATATTATTATAGTCGATGTGTAGATAAAGCTCTATGGTTTGGCATGAATCGACTATCTTGCTGTAGTCCCTCGATCATGTTCCTTTAGATCACAACACTGGATGGAGAGCACTATCATTGCTCTTCACTGAAATAGAAAACTGTTCAAAGAAAAGGCTCAATAAACTACTGCATAGACAGACACTGTATAATACACTATGCATCGATATGTATTTCCTTTGTGAACATTTCCATGCGGACTGGACGCGCGGCGCTGACTCGTGTATCCTCAGACGCATCATTCTCCGCTCGCGACTCTATCTTTCATAATCATATCAGAACACTTTTGCGCAATGAAAGATTATTAATAGCATTTTTTGTTCTGTTCTGTCCTATCTATCATATGTTGCTGCCTCATTAAACAGCTGTGCTATATATGTATTTTCTTAATTTTATAGTTGACTATAAAATAATTGATCTTTTTGATTTTTATTTTGTTTTTCATGAATGTATTTTACAAAAACACAAAGAGCGATGTGTAATGTTTTACCAGATTTAGTGCTACACTTATTGTCTCTTATTTGTTCCCCACTAAATTTTTTTTCACTAAATGTTCTGATTTTATACAATTATTGTTGTTTTTTTAGACAAAATTTACCCACTAATCTAGTTTATAATATAATTTGTCATAGGCTATGATCATATTTTTTTCTTTATAATGAAGCGGTCCGTATTAAGTAGATTGTGTTTAACACAGAGTTATAGAAATTCTACTTGATTTTTTTTTTTTTACTGCGTTGGTATCGGATCGGTATCGGTCGATACTTTTCTGGTAGGCTATACCCGAGTTACCCAGGAGCTCGATGAATTGAATCGTTGAACACAGCAGGAGAGAACACAACGTTAGCCGGCTAGCTAAAGCGCTGGTGGAAAATGATTAGCTAACGCTACAGAGGCCATAATATTTTTGACTCATGGCTGAAGAAAAAAATGCATCTCAAAATGCATCAGATTGATGCTTTAAAACATGGAATATTTAAAAATTTTCTTCCGGGGGAGCATGAGCCCCCGAATCCCCCTCCAGGGGTAATGTCCTTCTCACCTCTTCACCCCGACCCGTTCGTCATACTTGCCCCTAATTTTTCGCAGTTTTATTTTGCTTTGCTTTTGCTATGATAAAGAGACATTTTGGGGGTGGAGCAATGAAGGGAGGGGGAGTGTTTGTTTTTATTGATTTCATATCAACAGAGTTCAACCATTGCTTACTGCACCTTTAAGCTTTTAAATGCTTATATTTTCCCCATTGATCAGATTCTTTTAGGCCCACACCATCTCTTTCAATCGAATCAAGGATCAGGCTCGAAGGCTTTTCGGTCCAGTTGAGCCATCAATCTGATAATATAGACAGATCCGTGTAAACTTAGCTGTGTAAAATGTAAAAAAGCTCACTGGAAGGGAAGATTATCAGGGAATAGTGCCTTACATTTGCTGTTTCTCCCTCAAAGCAGTCGTATCGCCTTCAGGAGACTTGGAATATCACTCGTGATTCATAGCTCTTTTGGTACTTTTATTGATTGTAACGGCATGTTAAAGAACGGCAGATCCATTATTCAAAGGTCTGGAAGGTCATGAGGGCGGTTCACGATTCTTCTAAAGTTAGAAGCCGTTGTTACTGCTTGACCAGATGCAGTGTACCATCAGCACAAAAGCACAGATACAGCAGAAGATGACAGCCTGCGGACCAGCGCTGTAGAAAGACAGAGAACAGGGTGGAGGGAGAGATTAATTGACTCTTTTCATGCTTTTATACACATTGTGTGGTCATGCCTGTACAAGCCCTGCATGCTTTCCCGAGGGTGGATTCGGCGAGCGGCGAAGGCAAAACCTGTTCCTCCTGCTTTCTCTGTGTTCGGGGGGAGGAGGAGACAGATCTCGGCAGTTTCAGTGTGTTCAACTCTGTGTAAGGTGAAACCAGCACACTTTACAATTAAACCCAAACCTTCCCTCCCCACACCGATGAGTGCGATTGTCTTAAGCTGATAAAAGCACCTCTTTTTGCTTTCCTAACCGTTTGGGGTCACGGTGAATGCAGAGGGATTCCCTGTGGCCCGAGGGATCATTATTGTTGATCTGTGACTCGCTGGTGCCCTGGAGGAGTCTAGCTCTGGTTCAGAGTATGCAAACGCTCGTGTAGGACATCGAAGAGGCGGTATTAGCATGGAGGAAACTAAAGCACAGATTGTGCCTTACTACGCATGTTAGTACAGTACAGTTAGGGGTCAATCCTCGGCACGACTCAGATGAGGCCTAAAGTGCGGGTAAAACACGGCCTTCTGTGCTTTGTGGCATTATTTTGGCCAACAAAATCATTGAATAAGTCGCATCTCGCTGCCTTTCTTCTCAGACCACGGACAACGATTCAATATTTAAAGTACGTGTTTTGAGATTTTTAATTTCTAAATTTTTTAATAGGCCTATTAATTCCACTAACTTTACCACGAAATTATAAAACAGCCTTTTTAGTGCCTTTTTTCATTATAATAAAAGACACCAGTGTTTAATAAATAGCTAAACATATTCTAATAATTTGGCCTGACAAAAAAAATAAAAAAATTAAATGTTGTATAATCACAGTAAAGAAATTGATGAGAAAAGGACCTAAATGAAGGTCATTTAAGAGAAAAATGCATTTTTAATTTTTTTTTTTTAAATTCCTCTAAAGCAACACATTGATTTCAGAGACCACATAATAAACATCTAAATACATGATCTGGCAGAAGAGAAGTTTAATTCCAATAGCCTGTAGTGTGTAAACGGTTGCCCGGCACATTTTTAATGTTTTCATATAGAATGTAAAGCAGCTCATGGAGTCATAACTATCTATCTATTTAATAGTATTTTCACATTATTTTTAAATGCATTAACGTTTTTATGCACCTTTTAGCTGCCGTGATACAACAACCAACATAATAAAATGTTGCTAGATTCACTTTTCATGTTATGCAAGAAGCGACTTTATAATATAATCGTAAGGATACGTGTCTGGGTGATTTAACCCTCTGTCCGCCAGCGTGGGGTTGTGTTCCTGTTGTTGGCTTGAGGCGGATGTGTTGTGGTGAGTTGTGTCAGATCCGCCGCTGTCAAACAACACTTGACGAGCTCTGGAACGCTCTGTGCCGACACACACACACACACACACACACACACACACACACACACACACTCTCACGCGGCCCATCTTAATGTCTTCAGGGATGATGTGTTCTTCTAGATAAAAAAAAACTAACCCTAACAAGTCCACACTACTCAAATGATTTGAGGAAAGTTTAATTGAGTAATGGGAAAATTGAATACTCAAATAATTGAGTTGAGCTAATGTGGTCTTCTCATTCAATTAACTTAAATGTTTGAGTAAAGAAAACTTAAAAGGCAAATGGACTGAAATCAAACTTGCTAGTTTATATTCTCTTGTTTACTTATTATTAAACCAAGTTTTGTTTTTCACTTCAACATGCACCTTTATTATAACTTGTGTTTTGGTCTTTCATTTACACGACAGCAGCATTTGGGGCCTGAATACGCGACTTACATTTCAGTGGAAACAAAAGCGCAGATCTGTGAGAACTGAAGTCGTGCGCATGCGGAAACGTGTTCAAAACATGCAGGTCGTGTTCCTTTACTGAGTGACGTCGCCAACTACTGGCCTGGTGGAACTGATCGATTTTATTTGACCACTTAAACATGAAAACAGTAAATGTACCCTAATTACTTTGAGGGTAATTGGTGCGTTTGTGAAAGCCTGTATTATCTTGGTAATGGAACTTGTTGCCCACCTTCCTCAAACAGAAGCCACTGATAAACTCCTTACGATGGGGATTTTATGAGGTTAGAAGCGATAATGAAAGTGTTGTAATACTGCTCTCTTCAAGTTAATCCGAATTAATGCTAAAATTAGCATTTTTATGTCGATTTACGCGGTTAGCCATATTCAACCTCCTCATTTTTATGCCTTTACAATGGTTGTGTGTGCGCAGTAAAATGCTTTAGCGATAACAAATTAGCCGTTGCACAACCTCCAGCTAACCAAATAATATCTCTGTTGTTTGAGCTTGTTGGGCCTTAAACACAGTGTGTGTGTGTGTGTGTGTGTGTGTGTGTGTGTGTGTGTGTGTGTGTGTGTGTGTGTGATTGGGCACTGCCTTGCTCAAGACCCTGAGCTGTTGGCGTCTTTAGTCATTGGTTCATCTCCTGTTGAACTCTGGTTTGATGTTCAGAGAAAGAGGAGAGATGAGGCTGAGCTTCGAGAGCTTTCAGGGCCATTGAAGCGGTCGAGTTTGTGCTCTCTTCAGTCATTTCCCTGATCTGAGACCTGTGGGCTTCACTGTGGTAAAGTTACAGCTGAAACATGATATTTCAGAACAATGATTGTTTGATGTTATGTGGTTAAACAACTCTTATAGAAAACTAGGACTAAATCAGGTTACAAAGTGACAAAGGAAAGGTCATTCTTTTGGATTCAGCAAAAGTGCAGTTAAGGCATTTATAATGTTACTAAAGATTTCAAATTAAAATAAAGTTCTTGAGAACCAACAAAAATATTGTTAATAATAATAAATTCATAAAAAGCATATTAGAGTGATTTCTGAAGGATCGTGTGATGTTGAAGACTGGAGTAGCGATCACATGAATAAATAACATTTTTAAATATATTCAAATAGAATTATTCTTTAAATTGTAACAATATTTCACAATATTAATGTTTTGCTGTATTTTTGATCAGATATATGCAGCCGTGGTGAGCTACAGAAGAGTATTGCAATCAGTTGAGGAAACTAAATCTACTCTGTTTTTCTGAACTAACTCAGATTTAATTATCTCAGAATTACTACATCATTTTTCATGGGAAAAAGTTTTTGCTCTTTTTTTTCTGAATTAATGACTTGATTATCTCAAAAATCCTGGCTTTCCAGGACTGAGATCTGTGGCGAACCTCACGGCGTCGGGTGTTATCGGTGTGTGTGTGTGTGTGTGTGAAATGACTTCCGTGTTTACACATGGGAGTTGTATTACTCTCCAGAGCTCAAGCACATGCATGTCTAAATCCTCTATAACTGCCATTTAAAGACCTGACGGCACACACACACACACACACACACACACACACACACACACACACACACACACACACCGTAACATGCTCAAACTGGACTTCCAGAGGTTGCCTTGAACTCAAATAAATGACTCGCTTGTTTTAAGTTTTCTGTTTGCTGGTTTTGAGGCTCACAGCCCATGTTTTATTCAGAGTTTTGTAGTTTTGTAACATTTTGTAGCATCTTTTATAGCTATTCTGTGGTGCGGTAATTACTAAAACTAATGTCATTTCTACATGAAAAAGTTAGTTCAGGCAATAATTCTGTATTAGTCCTCAATTCAAGCTTGTAGAAATTAAAGCGTAAATATCAATGTTATAAAATTAAGTTTTTTTTTTTACTCTCAAATTGATAACATGTATATAATGCCGCGTTCCAGGCAACCTGTAACTCGTGTTTTTCCAACCTTATACCCGTGAAAGTGCACTGGAACGGCAGTCAAACCCGTGACTTCCCACCCGTGAACTCGTACTAGACCGATGTACTCCCAGTTACGAGTTCTGACGTCACATAGCCCGCGAACCAATGACAGCCCCTACGGATGCAGTGTTTTGCAGGCGGTACACGGTGAGAATACACTTTAGGACAATATAACGTTAACTAGTTTTCAGTCCATTGAGTGCAACGATAAATATATACCAAATACATTTCCAAATATACAAATAAAGTAAAATAAAGAGTATAACAGCTTATCTTTCCTCATGCGCTATTTTTCCTCCTCAGTTTCTCACAAATAAACAAGGAGTAAAGCACCTTTGGAGTTAAATATTACAAACGCGCGTGAGCCCCGTAAGGTCCGCCATGCTGGTTTGTTTACATCTAGGTACTTTGGTGGGAATGACCTGGAATGCTACAAAGTCGTGAGTCGTGGTTTGAAGTCGTGATTTACGTGTTTAAAAACCTGCCTGGAAGGGTAAGTAAGCAATAAGCTACGAGAGGTTGTGCTGTATGGTGAATGAGTGACGGCTGAAGGGCGTTGTTAGGCTCGACGCGAAGCGAAGTAACCCCTTATTCACGGTACAGCACTGGCCTCGAGTGCCTTATTGCTTTTATAAAACGGTTGCCACACAATATTAAAGTAAAAAACAATATTAGTGCAACTTTCTTGAAGTAAAATCACTAAAAGCGTTCCTTCCGCTAGATAAAATAGTCCCTGAGCGTGAACAGCAACAACGCTCCAATGTGTAAAACGCATGAAAGCTCAAATAAAAACAACACAGAACCGTAGTGATGCGCCGCGATCAGAACCGTCGGGTGAAGCGGACACAGCCGTGTTTATCGTGAATAAAGCACAGCTCTTGACCAATCAGAATCACGGATTCGAACTAACCGTTTTATAATAAGTGAGTACATCATGAATCCATTTTCCAAACCGTGTTTGTCTTGTCCTGAATCGGTAAATTTCACATTTCTTCTACATAAATGACCCATTTTATATACACATTACCGTTCCATGAAGTATCGCTTTACACAACATATTACAAAGAATTACAGCTGGCCAAGTTAAATAACTTATTTTCTTTATTTTCGGATTTTACTTAACTGAGTTAAGCAGAGTTTACTTAATTCCATATGTTGAAAATCTGTGCAAAAACGTGCAAAAGAAAAGTCAATATTAGTTCTTTTTTTCAGCGAATGAGATTTAACTTTGATGTGTGTGTGTGTGTGTGTGTAGGTGAGAAGCCGTACCGCTGCAGTTGGGAAGGATGCGACTGGCGTTTCGCCCGCTCGGATGAACTGACGCGGCATTACCGCAAACACACCGGCGCCAAACCCTTCAAATGCGTGGCCTGCAGCCGCTGCTTCTCGCGCTCGGACCACCTCGCCCTGCACATGAAGCGCCACCAGAACTAGCGGACTTCACACACACTTTCATTACAGTTTTATTGTTCTAAATATTTCACAGCCGTTCACGTACACGAAGATCAAACTACACGAAGAGGACTGGACGTCACAGCCCGGATGTATACTAATGTACAGATGTTTTGTAAGTGTTTATGTCTGTAGAGTAATGTGAAAAGATGTTATGAATTTTATACTTGACCTCCATCCACTTTGACTCAATTTGGAAATGCTCCTTCGGGGCCGTATAGTGTCTTCCAAATAACTTGAAATGTAAAGTTTGATTTATTAATTCCAAGGTGATAGTTAGTTAGTTGCTCATCTTTGGCAGTGCTAGTCTATACTATTTATGTGGAATTTCCCACTGACGAGAAGTCGTTTGCTTTTGGCTAAGATGCTGCGATAAAGGAAGACATGTTTGCTGTTCTCACAGTCGTGTCTCTTTATGAGATTGTAAAAGCGGCGCTCGGATCAGTCGACTGTCCGACGTTTCGGCTCTTTGTGTGACTGATGAATGTGAAGAGGAGCTCACGAGAGCCGCTTTGACCACGTGTGCCAAACAGTTGATGGTTTTAGAAAGGCGAGGAACAGTTTTGAAACAATCCCTTTCTTTTCCCAAGAACAAATGTTGTATTTGTTGTGGACACCGTAGCATTTGCTTTTGTAAAGTCTTAAAAGTTCTCCGGTTCCCTTCGTACACGTCCGGCTCTTATGAAGGGAACTCTGACGGATCAAACGGTACTGTACATATTCTGTTGTTAAAGTTTAACTACATGTAAATACGTTTCTCTTTGAAGCTGATTGTTTTATTATGAACAAATGGGAGTTTGCTGCATTTGTCTTGAATGTGGGGAATTGAGTGTGTCGTAGTGATCAGTTTCACATTTTTATGTAGTTTGAATACAGAATTTTGAAAATAAAAGAATAATCACATGTGTTGTTCTGTATGTTGTTAACATGCTTCCTTGACTCTGGGTGAGTGGAAAGAAATTACAATAGTACATGTTTTATTTATGAGGGCCGATAGGTGGACTTTTATTTGCTCTTTATGCTGGGTTAAACATACCCAATGCTAACCCAGCTTGTTGGGTTTTATCTACCCTATCTCACGACCAATTCGTGAGTGATTAAAAAGTGGCTAATTCGTACGAATTCATACGATTTGTCTAAACCCACGTGATGGTTAGGTTTAGGGGCGGGGTCAGGGGTAGGTCATTCGTACGAATTCATGCGAATTGGCCAATTCGTAAAACATGTACGATTTAGCAAAATCGTACTAATTTGTACGAGTGAGGTCGTATGAATTGTTACGAATTAGCCACCTCGTAAAATTCGTACGAATTCCCGTGAGATCGGGTTGAAACTCACAGTGCTGGGTCAAACAACTGGATTTTGCATTTATTATATTGTATGAGACAAGTGGAATCTACTTTTAAAACTACAATTAATATTTTTTTAAACCGATTGCAAAGTCAGTGTGTTGTTTGATTCAGCTCCTGAGACTGAACAACATTCAATTGAACACAAATTCTGCTTGTTATTTAGAAACTAGAACATGACCGCCGTCTTCATAAACGTCCTGTTCAAGCGCAAGAAGACGTGAAAGAAACTCACGTTATCTTGAGTTTGAGAAAAGCTTTATCGCGGTTAAACGGACGAATACACTGATAATTACGTTAAAATGTAAGTATCCTCGTAACAACAGTCTTAAACAAGTTCAAATAAAAAGTTTTGAATGTGTATTTCCATGCATTTGTTCTTAAAGTGACAGTAGCTTAAAACTTTGCTCTTTTAGTAGCTCTAAAACTTAAATAAGGTTTAATCTATATCTAATTTATACAGTATAGTGTTTTGTGTACTGTTAGACCTGTTTGTTTCGACTTTGTTGATATTGTATTTGTGCTTATTGCTAATAATTTGTTCACATGTGTCTTTATTTAAATTATTGAGGCCTAATAAAATACTATTTATGTATTTATTGTTGTGGTGCGGCCAGTGAAAATGAACCGTACTCATTGAGCCCTGTGTGTTTATATATAGAGTACCTTCTCCTCTTGTTATAAAATAAAGTTACAAAAAATAAATGTTAAAGGAGTCGCTTACATCTCAAAGCTGGAGCCAGGCCGTTCACTATAGGTATAAACTTGTATATTGTTAAACGCTGTTTTGTTCAAACAATGAGTCAGCTTGTGAAAGAGAAACGCGGCGACAGTAGTTAGGCCGGCCGAAGGACTAGCGTTGGGTGGGGAACAGCTTTTACTGAAACAGAAAACTAATAATTATAGTCTGACAAGATAATTTACAGAATGAAATCCAGCCTACAACAGAAGGCGATGACGGATGAGGGGAACACCCGTTTACAGCGTGTTCTGTGCAGATGAAAAGATGAAAATATGTAAACCATCTGTAAACAGTGAGCGCGACTGCCCGCAGTAAAACTAAAACGGTCTTTATTGTTGAGAATACCTGGGTATTTTTAAACATAGGCCTATTTAAGCCTCGCTCATTCCTCAGGTGTTGACTGTGCTTATCGCCAATCCAGTCAAAACTTGCCCCACTTCTGAAACCGCTTGAAGAAACCAGAGGTACACTTTAAAGAGTAGTTCACTTTAAAAAAACTTTTGCTGATAATTTACTCACCCCCGTGTCATCCAAGATGTCCATGTCTTTCTTTCTTCAGTCGAAAAGAAATTAAGGTTTTTGATTAAAACATTCCAGTATTTTCTCCATATAATGAACTTCAATGGGGTCCAAATGAGAGTTTCAGTGCAAACTGTTCAAAGGGCTTTAAACGACTCCAGACGATGAATAAGGGTCTTATCAAGGACACTTCGAGTCATGACTCGAAAAAAGATTCGCTCATTTTGATGAACGAGTTCGAACAGGAGAGTCACGAACGCGCATCACAGAACAGAGCAAGGCGAGCATTTGAGCTTATAAAACTTAAACTTTGTTATTTATTTATTAAATGAGCGATCGTTTCGCTTGATAAGACCCTTATTCATCGTCTGGAGTCGTTTAAAGCCCTTTGAACAGTTTGCACTGAAACTGTCTTTTGGACCCCATTGAAGTCCATTATATGGAGAAAATCCTGGAATGTTTTCATCAAAAACCTTAATTTCTTTTCGACTGAAGAAAGAAACACATGGACATCTTGGATGACACGGGGGTGAGTAAATTATCAGCAAAAGTTTTTTTTAAAAATGAACTACTCTTTTAACATGTCTTGAAAAAACATGAAATAACAATATGAGATGATTTAAATGTCGCCTGTTTACTGAAATTGCTGAATCAAGACCTTGTAACCCTTTTTATTTAGCTTAACTTAAAAAAATGTAGTAATGTGCTATTCACTATTAATATACATGCCTTTGTGATTTAGAAAATCCAGGTTCAGATTACTTAGTTTCTGTCGGACTTCTATTTTGTCAAGCAAAAGATAATATTCCTCCACTTCTGCATAATCTTTCTCCCTCGTTGCCTTTGCTCATTATCACTCATCTTGAATGTATTGTCAATACAACTCACAGTTTTGTGAGAACAGCGCTTCATAAACGGACTATAATTATTTTCCATTGATGCAGTCTGGGAGAACTGTTACTCAGTGAATTAAGTCCGTAAAACTCAGAATCCAAGTTATAAATACTTGAATATATTGATAAACTTATTGAAAGGCAATAAGTTTTTTCCAAGTAAAGTTAACTAAATGAAATGTACTATTGTGTAAGCCTATCTCAGGGTCTGTGTTAATCATTACTGCACCAGTTGAGAAGTGAGTGTCATAAAGATTGTGTTTTGACCATAATTCATCCTCCCAGACACTCGGGTAATATATTCTCAGGAACAAACAAAGGAAGAGCTCCACTTCTTATGAACTAAAGTCCTGACCGAGTTACAGCGCTGGACTTTGACTTTAATGGTTAGACCATGCCGGGCAATTTTATTGACAAAATGATAAAATATTTCTTCATAATACATGTTTACCTATTTGATACTAGTGGAATGATAAGACTTTAAAAGAGTCCACCGCACGAGCTGTTACACGCATGCGCCACTAGAGGGCGCCACGCCGCTAGCGCACCGCAGAACACCTCAGGGTCACGGCCAGGGGTCACGGCAGATCTCTTCAAGACATTCACCGCTGCCGGCGCCGGCGGACTGTTCGCGTATCAAAACAAAGAAAATTAGTGTATTAACCCTCGGGTGTAGTGTTTTGAGTGAGATACCAAAAGTGAGGGACTTGATTTTGCCAAACATAATCCTAAGTTAAAGATGTTGATCCAGGAACACGTCATAAGTTAGTCGCTTTTAAAGGGACCCCTTGTATTTTATATATTTTAATGAAACCTGACACATGATGTGACAAACCTGAAAGAACATAATGTGTACATGCATTTAAAAATCAAACTACAAATTTAATTTTAATTAAATTAACATTTAATGATCATCTGTTGCGGTAATAAAACATTTGGAAATGAGGTTGATTAGTTCGTTAAAGATATAGTAAGTTTACTATGTCTAGATTTAATGTAGAAAAATGTATAACATATGCAAATTCATGGATTCAAGTATAAAATCTGTTTTATTTTGTAGTGCTTCAATACATAACATTAATGTACATTAAACTTTAATATTCGTAAAACAATAACTTTTATATCCATGATGAATTTGCTAATCTTTACTCAATGCATATAATTAGACATTTATAAAGTACAATTCATGTGTAAATCTAACAATTTTCTAAATGTAGAAAACTACTTGTTTCGGTAATGATAATCAATAAGTCGTGTAGGCTACACATTCTGACAAATGAATATTTTAGATTTAATTGGAGAAATATAAAGAGATCTTCTTACCTAGTAGCCATCTTGAAGGAACTGGCCCATGTGCCTCTTTATTCAAAATCTAAACTTATTTAAATTCTGAATGTGCGTTTTAACAGTCCTCAAGAAATGTTGCGGAGGATGAGAACCGCAGTCATGGACACGTCATTTTCCTACTTTTTTTTCTGATTTACCCTAACCCTAACCCACAACATAACATGCATTCAGTTAAGTTGGACGCATTACGGTAATAAGAATTTTCACAGAAAATATAGTAAAATATAAAATAAAATTATTCCCATGTTGAAATGACACATTGTGAAAGGTACAGATCAGTATTGTCTTCATTGTGAAGACACGAATAAAGACACGAATACAATTTTTTAATGGTTTTGTGAGAATCACTTGCTGTAGTCCCCCCAAAAATGAATATTCTGTCATCATTTACTCACCCTCATGCTGTTCCAAACCTGTATGGGTTTCTTTCTTCAGCTGAACACAAAAGAAGATATTTTGAAGAATGTTGGAAACCACATCTCGACGTTATCCAGAGAGTGGGGCAGGAGTGACATCACTAGTCGGCCAAAACGCTGAGAGGCAAGCATAGACAAGAGGCGAGTGAGCATTTTAGCACTTCCGGTTTCATCTTCCAATTGTTTTTTTTTTTTAGAAAATGGGATTTACTTAAATGACTGAAACACGGCCTGTGGTAAACAAAAACTCAAGACACTTTCACGTTTTATTTTACAACATAAAATACATAAAATTTACCTCACTCATGATATGTTTGCAGCTGTTTGCGCGTCATCACGCTGAAAAGGTAAACATTGTCGGAAGCTTAGTGCTGGTGTAGTTCGTTTACACTTTAGCTTTTTACATCTGGCGACTGCATTTAGGCCGTGTGTCCACCACACGGTGGGGGTGGGGGGGCGACGCTATCCACAAGTTTATCCACAAGTTTCCTACGCCCCATGAGGCCTTGCGTCAAAAGTGGGCGCGACTTCCGGTTCGAAGTAAACAACGCGCGATTTGATGCTGGACACACTTTTTTTTTTTCACTTTTCTTGTTTTTAATCAATCTTAGAGACTTCATAAATGTATCAATTTCGATTAAGAAATGTGGAAAAGTAGGCTGCGATTTAGAGAATTTTTGCTTGTGAATACAATTTGTCCCAAACAAAATTAAAAAAAAAACTTAACAATGTAACTAATTGAAGTACTTGCTTTATCTTCGTTATAGCAACAAATTATATCCTTTAATTGAAAGGATTTGGAAGAATCAAGGTGCTTGCCAATGTGAAGATATAACCTATTCCAGAAGTTTTGGGTTTTTTCACATTGGAAAAATAACATTGACACTCGTTCATTCAAGATCGCTGAGGAAATACAGACCGGAAGTGGGCGGGGTTACTATGGTCTATACACACAACATTACATTCGGAAATAGACTAGCTTTGTTTACATAAATGCCCCAAGCAAAGATATCCCGTCAATTTTATAAACTGTTATAAACCCAGCCAGTAAAATCACAATGAACACATCCAAAATGAATTATTTAACATAACAACTGCAAAGCGTCTAATTTGTAAACAAAATTATTTATGCACTAAACTCCGGCACAATTGGCATATTTTAAAAATCTTTTCATTTTAAAAAACTAACCCTAACCCTAATCCACTCAAAATATCTACTTCTCTGTTTAACAGAGGAAAGAAACTCGGGTTTGGAACACCTTGGAGACAGAATTCACATTATTGGATGTTAAAGAGACAGATCATAATGAACTGGGTATGGGGTCCATTTTTGTTGTAAATACCACCGGATATTTTTGTAAATAATACCGGAATTATAACACACACGCACCGTGTTGCACCAAAACATTTTATTCTATAAAAGGAGTGGGTAATCAATCACAACTGTACAAGGGAAACTGACTTTTAACACCATTTCTCACAGTATCAAAAATCTCATGTTTTCCTCGCTGATCTTTACAGACTTGTTCTGTACAAATACAAAAGAAATAACATTAATTACTTGTTTTGTTATAATGATAACTGCATTGCACTGAGTAATATAGTACTGGCCCATAAGTTACTGCATTCAATATAAAATACCTATGATTCTGAAAGTTTAAAAGAGAATTTAAATGGAAATAACCACACTTGCACACATACACATACACACTCACACGAAACCCAAACTCTCATGATTTGAGCACACTATTTTAAACAAATCATATGCAAGTAATGAAAGCAAACATACTTTTAGATAGACAAGCATGTCACAAGATTCAGTCGTGGGCACTTCAACATCGATAGAGGCTGACTCCGGACATTACGCCATCTTGGAATACAATAAAGTCAATTTCGGATGGTGTGAAGGTACATGTTTTACCAGCATGTCGTGTAGTAGTTATAAATAGGCCATGCATATGCTACGAATGGCCACGGTTGCACACATTTCATGTGGATTATCAGTGCTTATAGGCCACATCTGTCAGGGCAGCGGCGCTTGACATGCTCACCGACGACGACGTCACAAAGAAAACTCCACTCTCCATGCAACACTTTAGGGGTGAACAACACGTTAGGGACTCTAAAAAAAGAAGAAGATTCAAAGAAACAACAAAAGAAACGAGTATTTCACATTATCTAGTCAGTGTTAAAAATAGAAATCCACCCGTTACATTGATTCAAGAACTTTGTAGATTATATACAGTATGTACATTAACTCTTTAATTATTCATCGTAAGTTTATGAACAGTTTTTAAAAAAAGAAAGGGATCGCAATCAAATGCATATACTCTTCTAGAAAGATGTGCTTAATAACTTTGAGTCGAAGCAAGAGAACGATACAAAACCTCCCGACTGGACCAGATCTGGTGCATCTGCACACACACACACACACACACACACACACACACACTCTCGAAGGCTGGACTCGAGCAAGCGTTAGCGTTAGCACTCCGTCGGCCTGACCTAACGAGCGACGAGTGTCTCCTCGCAGATTTACATGTGCAACATTTTCATTATATCTCCGTCCAGGAACTTCAACATATTCTGGGTGGTTGGGGGGGTATTTCTGCATATCATGCACATGAGGGCTGAGCGGTGACGGCGTGTGTGTGTGTCGGTGAACGAGGGGTTCTCACAAAAATAGGGGTCCCGTCTCGAACCAGATCCGCACCTTTACTTCAATTAAGGCTAGAAGTAACGATGCATCTGTACTATTATATCTCTGATTATGTCTTTTGTTTTTTTTTTACAAATATGCAAACAAATGTGCTTATACACACACACACACACACACACACACCAATTTTAGTAAGCCCCCCTTTCCCTGCCAGCTATGAGGCTTTTTTTAAATGTTTTTTTTTTCACAGCCTTATGAAATAATATCTGAATATTAATTAAAAGGTGTTCTTTATGTTAGATGCAATTAAAATGTCTTTTAAAAAACAAAAAGAAATACTGTTTTTTTTTTTTTTGCGCCAAACTATTTCTGGGAAGATGCTCAGACAACAGATACTAACCAAGAAAAATATTTTACAAAAATTCACAGTCTTGTCAGCCCCTGCCTCTACTTCTCATCGGGGTTAGGGTCGATACACAAGCTGATTTGTTAAATAAAAGTAAAACGAGCGTACATCTTCAGCTGTCTTAACACCGCGCTCACAAACAAACAGAAACGCACAGATTCATCAAGGCAGCGGTAGATGCATCTCCAACCACGATCTCATTAAAATGACTACATAACTTTACTTTCCCAAACCATCTTGCATAAAATCGTTTGCTTTCATCTTTCTCCATCTCTCCCAGCCTTTCCTGCAGTCCTTCAAGTATCGTCTGATGATCAGGCATGCGTCTCCACGTGTGTCCTGATGAGGTCGCGGTGGACGGGTCACGGGTGGGTGAGCTGAAACAGGAGGGGAACCGCTGTGATCGTCGTCGGCGCGAGAGGGTTCACATCATGACGTGGCGCCGCCGGTGCAGGGCCAGGTGGTCGGAGCGGGAGAAGCTGCGGTCGCAGTCGGTGCAGCGGAAGGGTTTGATGCCGGTGTGTTTGCGAAAGTGTCGCGTCAGCTCGTCCGAACGGGCAAAGCGCCAGGTACAGCCCTCCCATGTGCACTGGTACGGCTTCTCACCTGCGGAAGCATCACGGCCGTCAATATGACTGATACACACACACACACACACACACACACTTCTGTTCAAGCGTTCGGGTCGATGTCTAATGCTCACCAATCCTGCTTTACTCAAAGACAGTAATATCGTGAAATGTCACGTTATTATCGACCAGTGGATCTGAGTGAGTGGAGGCGGGGCTCATTTGCATATTCATAGAACCGAGGCAAGGGTGTCGAGTTACATTCAAGCTATTTTAAGGCATGAAGATTTGGAAAAATTGGACCAAAAACTGTCTGACACTTGATGGCTGCTCTTTCATCGGTTAGGAACCTGTGTGTGTGTGTGTGTGTGTGTGTGTGTGTGTGAAATATATCTAAATTTATGTTGAAGACACATCTGGCCAACGAGTGATGTGGATGTTGTCACGTGACTGCGTTTCGGTTGGTTTCATCAACTGATTCGGACCAGATCGGTGTGTGTGATTCACACTGTGTGTCATTTTCTGGGGTTTTGGTTTCTTTCACACAGTGTAATATTTCACCCTTATGCTGGACTGTGGCGCTGTTTTCTTCAGGAAATAAACGTTTTCCTGTTATCTCTGTGAAGCTGCTTTGTGTTGTAGAAAGAATAAAGAGACTAATCAAAGATGAGAAATGATTAAACTAATGACTACAGGGGGACTTTAATATTAGCAATGCTGAAATCATTGCTGTTTAATATTTTTGTGGAAACGGATACATTTAATATATATATATACAGTATATATATATATATATATATATATATTAGCTTAAAAGCACTGCACTTATGTGAAAAATAAATGTCTTTAGTCACTTTTTATCAATTCAATGCATCCTGAATAAAAGCATTAATTAATTTCAAACGTGCATATCTTACAAACCCCAAATTACAACCCTAACCATATAGATAGATAGATAGATAGATAGATAGATAGATAGATAGATAGATAGATAGATAGATAGATAGATAGATAGATAGATAGATAGATAGATAGATAGATAGATAGATAGATATTATACAAATAATGTCTATAATTTTTACTCAGAAGACGGCGTACCCGTGTGTATTCTCCGGTGGGCTTTGAGATGTGAGCTCTTGGTGTAGACTTTGTTGCATCCGTCGTAATCGCACATGTGCACGCGTCTCCTCTTCATGTCCGGCGAGTCGGGGTCCACTTGGATGTCCACGTCTGTATTCATACTGTGAACAAAAGTGAAACGTGTTCGATATTAGGGTGTGTCGATCAATCCAACCCACACCAAACCCATGCCTGGATTATCTGAAGATTAGGAGCGTGTCGAGGCCGGTACACACATCCAGCAGGAATAAAACAGAGTAATCCATCACCTGATTATTACAGTGATCACATTAGATCAGTGATACGATAGACACTCTTAACCCTATAAAGACAAGAGAGTATGATATTCCAGATTATTAGGCCTCTGAAAAAAACCTGAAAAAAAAATCAAGAAACTGGAGTGCGAGTTCACAGAAAGTCTCCAGATGAATCAGCCCTTCATGAGGGATTGACATGTCATTAGTTCAGTGTTTTAGTCTTCTGTTCAGACTCACTCTAATAGAAAACTAAGGCACAAAGACCATAAAAAGAGGATAAAAAATAAGTGGACTGTGTATTTTATTTCCCATTACAGTTTCATGTTTGGCTCGGGACTTCACATTTCTCTGACGACTAGAGAAGGGGTTTGATAAAGACCAGTAGTGATGTACTCAAACATGTGCCTCGTCTAATGTATATGCATGTGTAAAATAACCCATCTGTATAAAAACACAACATCTCAGAATTATAGATGTGAACGACACCATCTCGACCCCTAGTGCAACAATCCTAACTGGCCAGCAGGGAGAGCTAAAGAGCAAGTGTGTGTGTGTGTGTGTGTGTGTGTGTGTGTGTGTGTGTAAATTCCATACAGCTGGAGAGCTTCCAGTTCAGTGCCGCTCTCTCTCCCATTCCCCCCTCCCCCGCCCATCTCTCTCTCCTCCTTTCCTTCCTCTCTCGCCCTCAGCCTCTTCCTCTCTCGCTCTCTTCCTCTCCCTCGCGGCTGCTAACCAGTCCCCGACTCATTTCCATTGGACTTCTCTCTCCCAGCAATCACCTGACCGCATGTCCGAACGATCACACACACACTCGTTCTCCATCCTGCCGTCACACTTCTGTTTGTCCTTCTTTGCATTTTACTCCCTCTTTCAAAGATGTGACGACATTGCAAGTTATGTAACATCGTTTACACCCAGTTTGGAGAGAACCCTGCCCAGCAACACACACACACACACTCACACACACAACAGAAGAGGACGCATGCAGCTTGAAGAGCCATGGGCCTCCAGTGTGCTGAAGGTTATATAATCATCCAGAGGAGTGGATGGGGTCGTGATGCCATTAGAGCCTCTTCCACACACTGCACACATCCCGGGACAGAGATCTTCAGATGTGGGATGTGGGATATGGGATCTGTCTCTCACCTGGGATCCATGCCCTGCACGCTGAACGAGGCCGACCCAGACTCGGTGCCGCTCTCCACATCGCTGTCCGACTGAAACTCCACCGGAGAGGTCGAGCCCGGCTTTATACGCACTGAAACCACAGATACAGGACAACTGTCAGATGCTGAATCACAAAATCAACATCACTGAAGAATTTAACCCTTTAATGACAATCATTGTATTTTTTCAAGTGCCACTATTATACTATTTTAAAGGTTCCTAATATAATACATTCGAGCGCGAGTCATCCTTTGGAAGTGATTTGATTTGCTCGAAAAACAGCGTCTTCTTGAATGACGAGTCGACAACATCTACGCTACAACAGCAGTGTGTGAGGATGTGTTTACCATGAAGACAATAAACGTGTGGAAACCTAAACGACGTTCGTGACTAACTCTAAACAGTTAGTTTCATTGAAATTATAGTTATTAATATTTATTTTTTAAAGATTTTGATGAGCATTTTTAATGTATCCATCCATACATACATAATGTAATTAATTCTATTTATTAAAACCAAGTATAAATCTCATCAAGTTACTGTTTTTAAGCATTTTTACATTCATTCCAAAACAACTAAATGCTGTAACAATATTAAAGGAGTAGTTCACTTTTGAAAAACTTTTGCTGATAATTTACTCGCCCCCGTGTCATCCAAGATGTCCATGTCTTTCTTTCTTCAGTCGAAAAGAAATTAAGGTTTTTGATGAAAACATTCCAGGATTTTCTCCATATAATGGACTTCAATGGGGTCCAAAAGACAGTTTCAGTGCAAACTGTTCAAGGGCTTTAAATGACTCCAGACGATGAATAAGGGTCTTATCAAGGACACTTCGAGTCATGACTCGAAAAAAGATTTGCTCATTTTGACCATTTAAGCTTTAAACTGTAATTATTTATTAAATGAGCGATTGTTTCGCTTGATAAGACCCTTATTCATCATCTGGAATCGTTTAAAGCCCTTTGAACAGTTTGCACTGAAACTGTCTTTTGGACCCCATTGAAGTCCATTATATGGAGAAAATCCTGGAATGTTTTCATCAAAAATCTTCATTTCTTTTCGACTGAAGAAAGAAAGACAGAGTAAATTAGCAGGAAATTTGACTTCTGAAGTGAACGAATCGCTTTAACATCATCATGTTGTTCTTCAGACGGATTCACGAACGCGAACGAAGAGGCGGGATTTATCGCACCAGCCAATCACATCCAATCATAGCGAGATGAGGCATCGTCTCCTCTCACGTGACTTTCCCCTCTTCATTCCCAATCACCCACCGCACGCTTTAGGGTAAACTCGATGGGCTCGGCGTCATCTTTATCGACGGGTTCTGGTCACATGGTCGGGTCGTTTAAAAGCCCTGCACTGAAATGAGGTGCGAGTCAAGCAAAAGACAAGAAATCAAATCAAACACAGCAAAGCATTCCTGCCAAGACCTCGCTTCCAGATCCAGATCCTGACATCTTCTTTGTGTTATTTGGCAGCCAGATAGTTCTCGAGTCCACAGGATGAAGAAATGGAGAAGGAAATGTTCCATGTTGACTCATCGAGAACTGGGTGGATATCTCTGAACACCGGCGGAGGACATGATCTGGACATGCCCAGGAGTGGAAGAGGCCGTTCATTAACCGTCTACTCTCCCTAAACCCGACTGGCCCAACATCATCCTCCATCTACAGCCTCTCACGGGTGCCACACACACACACACACACACACACACACACACACTCATGGCCTGTTCAGTCCTCCACCTCGAAGTTCCCCATAAACTCAGTCCAAAAGAAACTGATCTACATGATGACTTCTTTGAAGATGGTCCCCACCCAAATAACACAATTTACTGACCTTCATCATCTCCCATTACATTACTGAGTTTCAAAGAGCTACATATAAAAGTTAATAACCGAAAACCAAAGGAGCCGAACACACCTCCTCCTGCCTGAGTTTGGACTGGTCTTGAATCAGTGAGTTAAACCAGCGTTCGCATTTCCTCCACAGTGTAATTTGGGTGGAGTTCTCCCATTAAAAAACATCAATACATTTTATTAATTTTTGGTGTGTTTTATGTTCTTATTACGGTCCGAGAGCTGCAGGGGTCTGGGTTAAGACACTGGTAATCCTTCACTCTGTGTGCATCTATACAAGCGATTTATAGATTATCCTGACAGAATATGCTAATTAGAGGATAGTTAACTCCAACATCAGCAACATAAATTCATCAACTAACCCATTCAGAGACGTCCTGTTGTATTCCACATGTTAGTCTGTCCATCTTTGACTCACTCCGCTTTAAACATAACAGGCAGAACAGTTTCTGACATTTTAGTGTGTGTCTGCGTGAGGTAATCCGAGCTGCTAACACACACACATACCCTTGAAGCTCCGCCCCCTGTGTCGGGAGCTGCAGCTCATTTGCATTTAAAGGGCCAGACACAGAATAGAACGTTTTTGCTAACCCTCAAAATTTTAACATGCTATATAAAAATAACTGTGGGGTATTTCGATCTAAAACTTCACATACACACTCTGGGGACAGCAGAGATTTATTTTACATGAGCAATAGTAATAATACAAGACCACTAATGAATATTGTAACTTGAGGGAAAACTGAGGTTAAGTTTTATAACTTCTCCTGCTTAAAAGTGAAATGCGGATGATGAAACAAATCCATGTTCCAATGAAAACCCTTTTTGTGAAACTGTAACATGGCCTGAACTTGTGTTGGTTTTAAATAAAGGCCCAAAAATGTTGAATTTCGAAAGTTTCATTATCTCCTTTGATTAAAAGTTTAAGCTTGTTTCTGCCTCACCCTGAAATCTTCTTTTGTGTCTTTTATACGCAGATATACATGTGTGGGAAGAAGCAAAGATAACTAAACAGCAATTGCACGAAACTGTAGGTGGGCGCGACCGAGGGTGTGACGACCAAAAGGAAACGGGTAGAGCTGAAGGAGAAGATCAGCAGAACCATATGAACAATATAGAGGAAACAAGATTCGGCACAGACTCATATTTGCAGACCGACTTCAGAATGAGACTTACTGTAACACAAAACACTTATAGTTGCGAGAGCATGCCACTACTGAATAGGAATGAATGTGATTGGACTCCTTAACTGGTCCTTTAGTAGATGAGGATTAAAAAAATAAGGAAAATAAGACTTATTGGAGCCTGTCAAATGACAAACGATTTTAAATTGAAGAAGTCAACAACACAGCAAAAACGAGAGCTGTTAAAGTTAATGATGCAGTTAAAGAGCTAATTAAAGGGAGAGTTCACCCCAAAATTAAAATCTTTCGTGCAGGTTTGCAACAACATGAGGGAGAATAAATGATGACAGATTCTTTTATTTAATTTCACCCTTTAACACTATTTTAGCAGCATTAACGTCATTAAATTTGACATTATAACTTCTGGATTCTGTTCTCTATAAACTGATCTGAACCTTCAGAGATGATTGGAGCTGATGTACGATTACATCTATAAAGCGTAGGGAAAGTTTGATCACTGAATTAATGCAGATTTAATTACAGTATACACAGCTGCTAAAAACTTGGGGTCATTTTATGTTTTATTGTTTTGTTTTCTGAACAGTAATATTGTGAAATATCATTACAATTAAATAACTTTTATTTTAATATGGTAGAGTGGATATTGTTTTTCCTTAAACAAATAAACTCAAATATTTAAACTATGAAAATATTATGATAAATAAAATGTAAATATTTAATAAAATTATACTTTGTATATTATTAATTATTATTTTATATTTTCATTTAATTAAATATTTGATTGATTCACCGCTCTGGTAACAAACAACTAAAATTAGTTAATCGTGATTAATCGCATACAAGATAAAAGTTTGTGTTTACATAATACAAATGTCTTGTGTGTACTGTATATACATTTTTTGTGTGTATATATATTAGTGTATATATATATATACACATATCCACACACGCATGTATATTTTTGAGAAATATTTGCATTTATATACTGTATATATAGGCCTATATATATTTATATTATATATAAATAGAAATATTTATATATAATAAATATAAATATATGCATGCGTGTATTCATAAATACAAAATAATTATACACAGTACACAGACGTATCTTATGTAAACACAAAGCCCATGACCCTAACCCAATTAATGACCACTATACTGTGCTACTGAGGTTTTAAACTGGTTCTGTATCCGTTTCAGGTCAAAGGTCCTCTCACCTGACCCCTCCGACCGGCCGTCGCTCCCGATGAGCGGGACCGTGATGGCGGCGGTGGCGACTCCGTCTGTGGGTACGGTGGTGTAGACCACGGGTAAGGACTGCACCACCACGGGGATGGTCTGCAGCTGCCCCATCTTACTGGGCATGCTCACTGAGGGGATGGTGTGGATGACATGGAGGATCTGCTGACCTCCGACCCCTTGCGTGGACGCCAGGATGGAGCCCGCCGACAGCACCGTCGGGATGGTGGCGCTTATGTTCTGGAGGGTCGGGTTGGCAGGGGTGGAGGTCGCCGTGGCTACCGGGAGGGAGGGGCGGGGCTTGTTGAGTGACAGGTCCACTGGCTCCGTCTGGTCGTCATCGCCGTGTCGGGCGCTGATGTCACACAGCGGAGGCGGGGACGACTTGATTTTGAGGTCTGTGGGCTCAGGATAATCGTCTAATGGCTCTTCTTTCTGTAGAGGCAGAAAAAGAGAAGAACATGTGACGTAAACGAGGATAATAAGGAGATAAGGAGGAATATAGAAGAGCAAACGAGGAGATTAGGAGCGACGGAAGGGAAGGAGGACAATGGGCCGAGGAGAAGGCCTGAAACTGGCCCGAGTCCAGCTCAACACAGACAAACCTCCACACTCCCATTTACACACACACACACAGTCAAAGATCTGTGTGTGTGTGTGTGTGTGTGTGTGTGCTCAAGCTACACCCTCTAAGACTCTTTTGGTAAAGGTAATAAAACAAACGGAACGTTTGAAAGCAGTTCTTGAATGATGCCTCATGCAAACAGAGATGTGTGTGTGTGTGTGTGTGTGTGTGTGTGTGTGTGTGTGTGTGTGTGTTTTAGCGCCAGCGAGGGAACAGTCAACTTAAAAACGCTAAGCTTGTGGTGCTAGGAATTCGTATGTGGTTGCTATGTGGTTGCTAAGGTGCTCTGAGTGACTTTTATCACATTGTTTGGCAGTTTCCGGGTCTATATACACTACTCACACATTTTTCAGCCTAATATTTTCCCCAATGGCGGCAGTCTACTTTTCAACCCTTATTTGCATGAATGTTTGACCAATCATTATTAATATTCGGGTGTTTAGTGACCCGTATCTAAATCTAGCATGGATGGATCTCTACCTGATGCAATAATATAAAACTCCCCTGATATTAGAGTAACCATTACAGAAAAATAAAATTAAGTATATTTTTCTACCTTTTGGAGCTTTATATATATAAAATAGCAAATAGCATATTTAATGAAAACTAGACAGGGCCCAAAATAGACCCTTGTGGAGCCCCGCTGGTAATAGGTACAGTCTTCACTGGTAAAGATCTTTGCTAAAGATAATTTAGATCAGATTGGCTATAGAAGGTCCTGTGTGAACGGGCATGATCTCTTTCCTCTTTCCTCTCCTGCATGGTCAGCATTGGGGTTTTCCCTGTATTTTTGTGCTCAAACAAAAAAAATTGCATCTTTTAATATGCAAAGCATGGCAAACATGGTTAAATGAAGAATAAAATCGAAAAGGGAATACATTAATTGTATGGGTACTTTAAAGTTCACCGTTAAATTTATTCAATATGTTTTGAATATTTCTTTTTTTACCATTAAAAAGGTGTATGTAATATTGTGTGACAAATATATCATATAGTGTTTATTATTAATATTTTCCAAGTAACACTTGGCCAAGTAAATGGCCACATGGCAGCATTGATTCTAAGAATTAATAAGTAAATTTGTAAAAAAAAAAAAAAAAAAAAAAGTGTTTCATTTTTATGTAAACAATGTCACACCATTAGACACAAAACACTGAGCATTAGATATAGAGCTTTTCAATTAAAAAATTAACAAGTCGGAATTGACCTCTTGACCTTCCGAACCACTCCAGAGATCACACTGCAACTTCCTGGTGGAGTGTGGACCTCTTCATCACAATGATGTCCAAATTATTGCACGTTCTAAATATAGATCGCAATGACGCCCATTTTACAGACAAAATGTATTTGGCCAAAACTTGCTTTAAAATCATCCAGACATCAACACTCTCTGTGTTCATTAAAGATGCATAACTCTGTTACTTAAAACTGGAAATCTAACAATTATTTACACTTTGCTGATATAAATTGTCATATTGTCACACCATATGACAGTTTTGATGTTTAGATAAAAGTCGAGGTCCTTGTGGTCTGCTGTAATAATAACTTAAAGGTGTTTTTATTAGTGTTTGGCCATCATGGACAGGTGGAGCTGCATGTCCTGTCGTCCACAGGTGCAGGCCGAGGCTGTGTAACTGGAGGAGACGAGTGAGAGAGAGAGAGAGAGAGAGAGAGAGAGACACAGAATAAGGGGAGAGTGGGTGGGAAAGGCCTCTGGTTGGCATGGAAACTGGGAGGTATATCAGCGGCTCAGTTTCCCCCGCCCGACCCGCCCACCTCTCTCTCTCTCTCTCTCTCTCTCTCTCCGGTTCTCCACCCTCCATCCCTTCATCCACTCCACCTTTCCTGATGCTCAAACCCGAAGAACCCCGTAAGGGCGAGTCGCTGGAGTCGGGTGATCGACACCCGTAAGTGACCCAGTTATCACGAGCGCTGTGTGGGAAGATGATCGAGTGTGTTCAACATCTTTCAGCAGTCGCTGTCGGCCCGAGGCGGCGAGTGTGTGTTGTGATGAAGACGAGCCTTGTGGCTGATCATTATCTAAACCTATTGTGTTTGATCTGTGTGGTGTTTCACTGCTGCACATTAGTTATACATGTGGATTGCGTTAACCAGAAGCAGACACAAATGTAGGATAATTGTGAGAAACAAACACTGCATCAGACGGGTCCTTCACAAATCAACATGCTAACTAACTGCTTACATATATACAGTATATATATATATATATCTATCACAGACGTCACAGAGACATTAGGTTAAGCTCCCAGTGTAATAATAATTATGATATGTATATGATAAAATCCTAAAATGATTTATAGCAGGATTTTTTGGTATCATGTGAACTGTATAAAGCATTATTTTTGCTGGATGCTTCACATCTAACATACTTAACCACAGTTTTTATTTATTTTTTATCCAGCGACTTTAAACCAGTCCTATATTCTGAACATCACAGAGCAGATGAGCCACGTGACACACCTGACACACACACACACACACACTCCACATTAATGTGCCAAGCTGCAGCATAACTGGCAACAGTACACACAGGTTACACAGGTTACACTCGTGCGGAGTGTGTGTGGCATGATGTGTCAGAACATGATTGTGTATATTGTGTCCATAAGGTTCAAACTTTCAAGTGTATGCCATCATGTTTTCAGATTGCCGGATCTCGCCGTGGATAAACAATAACAGCCAGCTTTAACATATCAGACACACACACAGATCCACAGTGACCCGAGTCGTCCAGCGAGTGTGTTGAGAGTGTGTGACGAGGAACTGCGGCGCCGAGACACCGGTCCACGACTCTCAGAAAAGCAGAACAAACGAAACTGAAACTGCAAACACGAGTTTCTGGAGAAAAATGCTTCCGTTTAATATTGTCAGGAATGATGAACTGATGGCAGTATGACCCCGTGCTGACCTCGCCGATGACCATTAACACTGGCCGTTCATTATATTCCCAGTGTGCACCACATCTCCACCGCAGAGACGAGGGGGACAAAACTCATATTCGATTAATCAAAAACAAAACAAACAAAAGATTAATCGATTGAAAAAATAATCATTTGTTCCAGCTCTAGTTGAATGTTTTACAGTCCCTCCAGGATTTCACGATTTTTTTTTGTGATTTTTGCCGTCAAAATGACTGATTTTGTGGTGGTAATTTCCAAAAATTTGTGAAAAAATGTGCGATTTATATTTAACATTTACCATAATAGTATTCAGTCCTTCCAGAAAAACACGGAGTTTTTTTTGTGATTGTTGCGGGCAAAAATTGATTGATTATGCGGCCAGTTTTCTTTAAAAATGCGATGGAATATGTGGGATATTTATGCAATTTTATGCAATGAAATTGCTGGAATTTACAAAAATTGAGGGAACTTGCAAAAATTGCGGTTTGATGAAAAAGAGAAAAAAAGTGATTCCCCCAACATCCTGTTAATGTAAGAGTCATTTCTTATTACTTCCTTTGATACACAAGCATACTACATCATAGAAAGTGCTGGGAATATTTAATTTCTCATCTTGTTTTATTTCAGACTGTAAGAGTGTAATTAAGGTGTGGCCCCTTTAAGAGCTGCGCGCTCCCTGTTAAACTGTCGAACACCCCATGTGTGCGGGTAATTTCTGTTTGATGCTACTTCTTTTATCTTATGTTGTTTATTAAGTAACAATGTGACAGTAGAACGTTCGACAGACAGAATACGAGTTCGATTTGTGAGATGTCAATCGCCTCCGTGAGTCTGTCTGGCGTCGCGTAATTGCGTCATTTCATAACGTTCCCATGGAAACAGGGGGAAATGGCTGCTCTTATGTGAAGCAAACGCAACATTTTTAAACTTTCTGCTAAGATACATGTGACTTTTTTTTGCAACGAAAATGCGAGGATTAAGAAATTATGCAAACCCCGCATATTTTGCACGGAAATCGGCAATTTATGCGGCGAAAGTGAGGCGTATTTGAAAAAATGCGGCCCCCGCATAAATATGCGGACTTTGGCTGATTTTGCATTGAATTCAGCGATCGCATAATCGCGTTTTTCTGGAAGGACTGGTTTTAATCACCTTTTTATTTATTTTTTTAAACAAGTTTCACAAAACAACAGTAGAGAGGGACAGCAATACTAAAGTTCAGAGACGCGACGACGGCGTCAAAATAAGGCCCACAAAGATGAGCGAAATAAAGACGTCAGTCGAACAGTAGAGTCGCTTTACAACAACACCAATCAAAGCAGCGGAGTGTGTCCTGAAGCCAACCAATGAGGAACTGAAACAGGCATACACTGAACACACACACACACACACACACACACACAACTCAATATCAGACAGCTGTGAGGACTTCATCACACCAGAGAAACTAAACTACAAGCGAAACAGAACCAAAGGCTAACCATGACAGGCGGTGTCGCGCTACGCCACGAGTTTAGGAATAACAAACAGGAACAGCACATGCTCAGTCCGTTCAGGTTTAGTACCAATAGAACTTACAGGTTCTGGTTAATGTTTAATGGATTAAATGATCATTAAAGGGTTAGCTCACACAAAACTTAAAATTAATTACTCCCTCCAAACCCATGAGACTTCAGAACGCAAATGAAGATATCTTTGATGAAGTCCGTTGACCCCTCAATAAGCAGCATCATCATTACAACAAGGCCCAGAACGCTAGTATATATATTATTATTATTATTATATAAATATAAATATATCTGCGAGCAGCGATTTCTGGGCGTTGAAAGTTGCAGTGCCGTTGCGCTCTATGGAGGGATCAGAAAGCAGAAATATCTTCATTTGTGTGTCCGAAGATGAATGAAGGTCTTCCGGGTTTGGAACGAGATTTCTGGGTGAACTAAACCTTTAATTTAAACAACAAAGGATTCTGGGAATTTATGTAAAGTGACATCCACAAACAATCCCACCCGCCCCGGGCCTCACCAGCCAACCGGGTTACAATATTACTGTGTTTACGGGGATTTATTTGATAGACAAACGTTTGTGTGTTTGTGCACAAGACTACCTGAAATACCTGGCAACCCCCTGGCCTGCACGCCACACACTTCCCTCTCACAGCCGCGCGGCGGGTCAGATACGCGTGTGAAACCACAGCAGATCTTAGCGGAAGCTAGAAGGTACTTTTGCCCAAACTGAACAGCTCAGTCGAGGTCAGCTGACTCGGACTTTCCCCATCGGATTATTGCACAGATTTCCCAGCAGTGACTATAATACACACCAGAAGAGCTGGCTGCGGAAAACACATTCGACACAGAGAAGGCTGTGTGTGTGTGTGTGTGTGTGTGTGTGTGTGTGTGTGTAAATGGGTGTGGAGCACATCTTTTTGCTCGAGTGCTCCTGTTAGTTCCAGAGTGAGTGTGTGTGTGTGTGTGTGTGTGTGTGTGCCCCTGCAGGTATGTGCTGTTGTGTGTGTGTCTTCCGGCTGCAGGAGTGTATTGTGCGGGAGTGGGAGTGTTGCGAGGGGGTGGGGAAGTGTGTGTGTGTGTGTGTGTGGGGTATTGGGGAGGCTACATCACAGTCGCTCAACTCCCGCCAGAGCTTCGTTGCCATGACGACGGTGGAGCGGAAGCCTCCCTCCATATATCCTATTATGGCTGCGGCGAGACTTGGAAGAAAAGGACAGATATGATGATAGAAGGACAGAAATAGAAAGAAACCACCAAAAAGTGGAGGATGAGAGTAAAATATTAACTGTGACGTGTAGAAATATGAGGAAACGCTTCCTTACGTGGAGCTTTGGTCCGTAATGCCACACAGAACAGGGAATGCCAGTTAATGATCATTCTTTCATTTCCTCATGCCCTCTCGCGTATATTCAGTCATGTTCCCAAACATCGCTCTGATAGGTGGAGCTGGATTTAGGTCTTTCCTACTCTATTGCTAATCTATGGTGTGCATTTCAAACACAAAACAGGAAGTGCTTTACAAAAACACAAACTTCAATTTGATTCGTTGACTTCGCACAATTTCCAGGGTACACGGGTTTGTCTTGGTCTACAGGGAAAACAGTTGTGTTGTTGTGTTGTGTTGTTGTGTTGTGTTGTTGTGTTGTGTTGTGAGGCAGCTTGTATGAGCTTTTCTGAGAAAGTCAAGAGTTAAAGTTCGGTTCATGGAAGAGAGTAATCATCACAGAAGAATCTACGGCTGATCATGTGACATCTCAGACTGAGTCCGACGGCTCCTTCCTGTCTGATGTAGCGGCTCTTCACCAGCGCAGTGTGCAATTTATTTATTTATTTTAATTGGACAACATTTTTGATCTCTTGTCCAAGAAGAAAAAAACTATTTTATATGCATATGATGCCTAAAAGCTATATTTTTTAAAATAAAATGTGCCCTACAGTGGTGTGAATAAGTTTGGACACGCATGCTAAAGTTGCCTAAAAAGAGGAATAAAAATTGGCATGGGGTACTTTCCATAAGATCATCTTTCAATGCAAATCAAACCAGCTATTAGGCTAACTGAAGTAAAACCATGCCAATCTCTAGGTGTGGTGAAGGTGTGTGATGATGTGGGGATATTTTAATCCCAAAGGCCAAGGGAACTTTATCAGGATGCATATTATCCTGGATCCATGAAATAACTGGCTCTTAAAAATAAAAATCTGCCCGACTCTATGGGAATTTAACATAGGGGTGCCCTGACTTATGCACCCTGTATTTTAAGGAAAAACATTTATTTATTTATGATGCATTATTCATTCACAAAGAAAATTGGTGTCCTTAAAGGTTGGAGTTTTCCTCAATTTTCTAATTAAGGCATTAAGATCAATATCCAAAAGATGATTTTTTATTCCTCTTTTTAGGCAACTTTAGCATGGGGGTCAACACTTATTCACACCACTGTATACAGACACACATACTTTCATACAAATATATTTCACTTAAAGGGACCAACTACATTTTGTTTTTATAATGTCATTATAATGCAGATCATTATGATCATTTTAATTTCTGGGTGAACAATTCCTTTAACCTCTAGCATTACTCAGTCTGTCGATTAACAGTTAAGCAGTTAATTATGCGCATCCCTCGCCTCCGTCCAATCAACAACCGATAGAAAGAACCCCACCTACTTTTTTTCTTTCTTATGATCCGTTTTAATTCAATTGTGACTTCACCTTCTGAATGTACAAATCATATAATCCAGACAATCACTGTGTAAACTAATATGAACTGCATTTGTAATTTAAATGAAACATTGGCCTAACAGATTCTGCCCTGGCCTTATCCTGAGAGAGGAGAGTCATGAGGAACCCTGAGGACCACCGACGTCACACACACACACACACACACACACACACACACACACACACACACACACACACACACACACACACACACACACACCCCAGTCCAACAACACTAGGCTTCAAACTCCCAGGACTCTCCCACTAGGAAGTTCAAACCCTACACACACACACACACACACACACACACACCACATTACAAAAGCCCACTCACCACCGTACACTCCACCTCCTCCGGCTCAGTCTTGATTTGTATGGATGGCATCTCCTCAACGGGCTCAGAAGTGGCTGCACTGGATTTCTTCGGACTCGTCTGACACTGCAAAGCAAAAGCAGAGAACAGTTCAGGGATAATCACAGATTACCAACAGTCTGATAACTTAGCAGAACGCTAACCTCTGAACAGATCCGTAAAAACCTGCAATTTGCTTGGACAAAATTACCTGAGTTTAGAAAGAAAGAAAAGTTATCAGGAGGTCACAGAGAGAGAGGATCCATTAGCCCCGACAGACTGATGTGAGAACAGTTAGAAGATAAAGTTTGGGGGAGGACGACACACACAGACATCAGGGAACAAAAGAGATGATTGGAAATCAAGTACAGGTCAATCAGACGAGGGGGGATGTCTGAACATGGAGGGAGAATCACAGAAATGGGAAGAGAAAGGCAAGAGATGGTTCTAGAGACGGAGAGAAAGAACAACTGAACAAGCAGGGAGGAGTTCTCCACAATCCCGTGTCCCTCCCTGTCCGAGCGGAGCGGTCACACCCGGCTCTTTAAGATCGAATAGCGAGGGAAAGAGGCCTTAGAGTATTAGTGGAGAGAGAGGGAGAAATGTGCTAATGCTCCGGCATGGGGGTGGGAGAGGGGTCATGTGACCCAGCGGATTCCACCGAGGGGTGTGGCCCCCCATAAGCTGGGGTGTGGCCGTCCTCGACATGCCCCTCCTCTCGACCTAACACACACACACACACACACACACACACACACACACACACACACACACACACACGTTCTCCGAGATAGCTGGAAAACAAACGCTTCATTCAAACTGAAGGAGAGCAGAATATCTGCAAACAGGGTCCAGAAGTACTCACTAAGGGGCTTTGGTGAGTAAATAAAAGTGTGGTACTCGCACATTAATTGGCACATTTAAGACTAATGATATGAACAATAGGCTGTCCTTTGCTGAAGTAAACTAGAACCACAACGAAAGGGCAAATTGTTAGTTAATACACAGTACATTTTCTATTATTTCTAATCAGGCACTGAATAAAGTACCCATACCAAGGGGAGCGGGTCTCTGCGGGGATCTCGCACAACACATCTTTAAAACCAGTGTTTGGTCTGAAGAAAGTTAAAGATTTTGGCGATGTTATCAATTTATCGAGGTTTTCTTTTCTTCAAACTCCTTTCGAACAATAAATATTCCTCACATAAAAAAAAATGTCTTAATGTTTTTGTTTTAGTTGCCGCTAGACGACATGACGGAGAACGGCTCAAGATTCACAACGAGCTGGACAGAACACAGCTGAATAATAGCAGTGTCAACAATCCCAAAATATACAAATATTAGTAATAGATTATTCAGTTCTATTCTGTTGGTAAAAAGTAGATGCTGCAAGTTACACACACACACACACACACACACACACACACACGCAAGACTGGCTCCGGCAATATAAAAGTATGTGAGCACTTGAGTGATTGAGAGTAGGACTCGTCCACTGGCCAACCCTTTGGAGAGCTGATGGTGTGTGTGTGTGTGTGTGTGTGTGTGTGAGTGTGTGTGTCCTCCCCGGGGAGCTGTGCCGAGGGCAGTTCCAGGAATAAAGAGGGTGGGGTGGGTGTGACCCCCAGCAGGAAGTTGTGGAGAGAGGAGGGGGCGAGAGAGGGAACATCAAGGATTAGAGAGAGAGCACACAGTGGAGGACAGCAGAGGATCAAGCCAAGAATGAAGAGATGTGAAGAAGCGAGAGAAAGACAACCATCACAATCTGGGTCATGGCGTTCTCCCTCTCCCAAGCCCCCGTGGCAAAGCAGTCCCCGCCCCAGTGCAGCGTGGGTAGAGTGGCCGTCTGGGACTGCATTGCTCACCACACACACCCTTTTGTCCAGCCCTCCTTCTCCAAAGAAACTCATTCTTTAGTACTCATATTTAGGGTTTATTGGCTTTCTTGAACAACTTTACAAATTCTACCTTAAAGAGATAGCTCACCCAAAAATCAAAACTCTCTCAGTAATGACTCAACCCCGTAAGGCCTTCGTTCATCTTCGCAACACAAATTAGGATTTCTTAAGGCCGGCCACCAAAAGTTCTGAAAGACATTGTTAAAATAGTCCGAGTGACTACAGCGGCCCAATCTCAAGTTCATCAAGCGACGAGAACACTTTTTGTGCGCAAAAAAACAAAAACAAACAAAAATAACGACTTTTTCAACGATTTATTTCCGTCTCTGTTGGCCTCGATCGAGTTCACGTAGCGAGAACTGAGCAAAGCCTCTAGCTCGTACGGCAACACAGAAACGTTGCGCAGTTAAACTACGTGAAATCTCAAGGCCAACAGAGACGGAAATGAATAGTTGGAATAAAGTTGTTATTCTCGTCGCTGGATAAACTTAAGATTGAGCCACGGTAGTCACTCGGACCATGAGTCATTACTGACAGAGTTTTCATTTTGGCGAGGACTGTCGCTTTAAGCATTTTAAAAGGAAGTGTTGAAGCTTGGTTGGGTGAAGAGGTGACCTACAGTCTACATATAAAGCAGTCGTTGAAGAAACAGTCAGCGACACACCAGCCCTCGCATCTCCTCGGCACTTCCAGAAAAAGCAGGAGCTTCCAAACCTTGAATCCAAACTTGACCATCGACTGAGGCCAGCAGAACCTTACTATAAACCCTATTTCTAGTTGAGAATGAAGAATCTGATAACAGAAAACCATGAGATCTACTAGGACCAAAAGGAGCTGTCCTAGCACTGAGAAGAAGTTACAGGACTTCAGCTGTGAAGGGCCGAGAGCCGCATGTTGCTCAATCCTGTAACCAGAGATTGGACGCTGGCTCTATACCTCGACTGGACCCCCGTGAGGAGTGTTCGAGGGGTGGGGAGGTGTGTGTTGTTCTCTGGGACGTAGTGTTATTGTAGATATTAACCCAACTATGCACAATACACATCGAGAATTCAAGAAAACGTAAATTCCCAATTTATACTTTACACAACTACATTAACTCTTGTTAATTATTAGGTACTTGTTCCATAAATAAAAGTAGTCTGGGGCTGTGTTAGTCCTGAGAGCATTCAGTGCATAAACACTGCAGTCCAGCACAATATCCCACAAGCCCACAGTGAACACAGGAAACTGCTCTGAGATCAGATTTTGACATGGTGCGTAAAAAATCTGTGAGGTGAGATTGTGTCTCGTTATCCTGCTCGTGGATTATTATACACTAAAGACCTTATTGTGAGGAAAGCTTCCCTAACCTTTTACCTAATCTGAATAAGTAGGACAAAAAAAAAATCTTGCTCTTTTGTTTATTAAACATGTTGGTATACAGTGGTGTGAATAAGTGTTGGCACCCATGCTAAAGTTGCCTAAAAAGAGGAATAAAAAAATCATCTTTTGGATATTGATCTTAATGCCTTAATTAGAAAATTGAGGAAAACTCCAACCTTTAAGGACACCAATTTTCTTTGTGAATGAATAATGCATCATAAATAAATTCCCATTGAGTCGGGCAGATTTTTATTTTTAAAAGCCAGTTATTTCATGGATGCAGGATAATATGCATCCTGATAAAGTTCCCTTGGCCTTTGGGATTAAAATATCCCCACATCATCACACACCTTCACCACACCTAAGGATTGGCATGGGGTACTTTCCATAAGATCATCTTTCAATGCAAATCAAACCAGCTATTAGGCTAACTGAAGTAAAACCATGCCAATCTCTAGGTGTGGTGAAGGTGTGTGATGATGTGGGGATATTTTAAGGGAACTTTATCAGGATGCATATTATCCTGGATCCATGAAATAACTGGCTCTTAAAAATAAAAATCTGTCCGACTCTATGGGAATTTAACATAGGGGTGCCCTGACTTATGCACCCTGTGTTTTAATGAAAAACATTTATTTATTTATGATGCATTATTCATTCACAAAGAAAATTGGTGTCCTTAAAGGTTGGAGTTTTCCTCAATTTTCTAATTAAGGCATTAAGATCAATATCCAAAAGATGATTTTTTATTCCTCTTTTTAGGCAACTTTAGCATGGGTGCCAACACTTATTCACACCACTGTACATCAGCACTAGTTTGCATGTTTTTGTCCAATTATCAGTTTGCACAGTTCCACTGACAGCGCTTTTCTGATCTCAGCTCTTCTAGAGGACGTCAGGTAAAACGCTGGGGTAAATAATGGAGCGACCACCACCAAACAAACCAAACGTGGGACACAATTACTACGTTATGTTACCAACACTAGAACATAACCTGAAACTGTTATATAATGTCTAACTTAATAAAAAACATTTGTATTCTGCCTTTCAGCTGAAAAAATACTTTAGTCTTTAGTCTCTTCCAGAAAACATCATTACACAACATGTCTTTATTTAACATTAAATTCAACATCATGCAGAGAACCATTTTGGAAACAGTTCTGACCAAGACCAACCAAAACCCAACAAAATAAATAGATGAACAAATAAAATATAAAACAACATGAAATTAGTTCATTGACAGTCTTATATATTACAAATGTATTAAACCAAAATCACCTATCATATTTTAAATCACAACAAGTTGATAAATTCTGTTAAATTTAAATTTACCGAATTATCCATTTGTTTTCCACATTTGATTGACAGCCGTCACAACGTGGCCGTGTTTACTCCTTTCTTTTCAACCATTGGGTAGGATTTAAAATCCGGCTGTTGTGATGAAGCGCTGTTAAATATAGGTGGAAAACTACTCAAAAAGATTCAATAAAATGCTTTCTCAAAAAGGCAAAAGAACGCATGCACATTTTCTTAATATGATCATTAAAAACCAACAGACTGATGAAAATGTGGGACATTTCCTCAATATGCGGCGACGTGAAAGCAAAGTGTGACGGGCGCTCACCCCATAGACTGATGAGACACACTTTAGTGTTTAGGGAGCTGGTGGTGTATGAATCTGGTTTGAACAAAGATTTCTGAGATCTTTCTCACTCTCCAAAGCTCCACCCTCATTATTTCCTTCAATTGGAAATATGTCAGCATAGTAAAGTCAGCTTATAAGCAATTTCATCAGGTCTCTAAAATGTCAAATGTCCTCTCTGGTTT